TGAATTTATTATTATATTATGTGGATACGAGACCGGCCGCGCGCTTGTTAATTTTTTGTAATTTAATAACATAAAAGTTTGAACGAATCATAAAATTTATTTATTAATTTTAAATGTATAATTTCGTATATATATATATTTTTTAAAATATATTTTATGTTCGTTAACTTCCAAGGAAATTTTAGAGATTTCCAAGACCAAATTCATGAAAATGCAACATATAATTGACCATGATTAAATACATCTTGGCGGAGAGCAAGTCAATCATCTCAAAAGTTTGCTTATCAAAGTAGTAAACAGATAATTTCAATTAAATAACTCAATAACAAAGAAAAAAATACAATACACAATATATTTCTCTTGCCCAGTTCATAACTTCTTTAACACAAAAACTGAAATCACTGTAATACAAAAAAATTTTTTAATAGTGAAATCACTGACAATTAGTTACAAATTATCACTCAATTTTTTCTCACCATAAAGAATTATCATGTATACTGAAATCATTATAACAATTAATTACAAACTAACACTCTCAATTTTTTTCACCAACAGAATTATCATGAATAATAAGAACACTGTAATCACTAACAATTATTTACAAACTAAAGTCTTCATTTTTTCTTACTACAAAAAAATATCCTAAATACTGAAAAGACTGTAATCACTTACAATAAAAAACAAAATGACACAAGTTTTTCAGTAGTGCTATCATGTTGCTACCGTCACCAAATACACAAGCTCGCCCCTCTGTTATGTTTAAATTTATGGACCTTCATTTCTACAAACGATTTAATTAAAATTAATGTTATTTAAATACAAATGACCTTCAAAAAATATAATTTATGCATATGTTGTATAAATTTACACCTTAAAGAAAATATTTAAATCAAGGATGCTACCCAACCTTGACAAAAGTGAATCGCACCAATTTATAAGTTTATTTATATTTTTAATGGAGTCACATCTTTATTTGTAAAATATTTTTTTCTAAAAATGTTAGCTTTATGTTATTTAATGCTTTATGCAAAATATTAATTTTTTAAAAAATATTAAATTTTATTTTCAAATAAGAAAAATTAACCAATCAAAATTAAGAAGAATGTGCAAAATAACCAATAAAGAAAGGTGACTACAGTCGAAGTTAGCTGCAAGTATCTGATGAAAGTATGTCGTCAGTTTTCACCAATCACAATTTATAATTTTGAATTCTACCAATAAGGATAGGTGTCTACACTTGAAGTTACGCAATTACACGTCTCGTTTTTACGATAGGATAGGATAATTGAGAAGGAATTTTCTTTGAAATATATATTACAATGAGGATTGTAAACTCAAATTTTTCTAAGTTTTATAACTTAAATTATCGAAACGTGACAAACACAAAATTTCAAATCATTTATTGCTATATGGGTAAGTCCACGTCAGAAATATCAGAATCTGCAAGTGGTTCTTCGATTTTAATGATACTTGGTAAAATTATAGCTTTATATAAGAGCAATGAGTAAGTAAAAGGAATTTTTAAAATATCTAAAATTGTAGGAGTTATATCACTTTTAATTTTGATACTGCATTTTTTTCTTTCCTTTATATCTCGGTCAATTTTCAATCGATTTTGATGAATCAAAAACGATTTTTTTCAGAAAATTTTAAAATAAAAATAAAATTTTGTTATTTAAATAGAAAAAAGTAAAAAACAAAATTTCGTTTAGATTTTTTTCAATTTCGACCTCTTTTTTTGAATTTTTAATTTTTTAATAATATTCCTTTTTATTTTATCTTTAATTTAAAAAAAAAATTCATCCTGGAGACTTTTTTAGATCTCGTGATATCGTTCTTTAAATATCCACATCTCAAGAAAACTAGGATCCAGATTTATGTTTTTACTTTCATTTGTTTTATAATATTATTGTTACAAACTAGAAACTTTCGCGTAATAATGTTTTTATTTTTAAATTACTTGACTTAAACAAGTGAAAATTCAAGCAAATCAATATTTTATTAATAGATTTGAAGCAAAGTTTTTATTTTTTGTAATATTTATAATTTAAAATAAATTGTAATAAAACCTTAACAATGCAACCTGAAATTGTAGCTAAAGTTTTTAGCGCTTTCTTTTAGAGGATTCTAAAACAAATAGTTATTCATAACCATAAAAAATTTCAACAAACAAATGAAAGTAATGATAGAAGCAAGTCCTGCGGTTTTCAAATTGATGAAGACTTATAATACTTAAAGAACGATATCACGAGATCTAAAAAAGTCTCCAGGATGAATTTTTTTTTAAATTAAAGATAAAATAAAAAGGAATCTAAAAGAAATTTTGTTTTTTACTTTTTTCTATTTAAATAACAAAATTTTATTTTTATTTTAAAATTTTCTGAAAATACGTAATTTTCTGAAAAAAATCGTTTTTGATTCATCAAAATCGGTTGAAAATTGACCGAGATATAAAGGAAAGAAAAAAATGCAGTATCAAAATTAAAAGTGATATAACTCCTACAATTTTAGATATTTTAAAAATTCCTTTTACTTACACATTGCTCTTATATAAAGCTATAATTTTACCAAGTATCATTAAAATCGAAGAACCACTTGCAGATTCTGATATTTCTGACGTGGACTTACCCATATAATCTCTTAAAATAAGAATTCACCGATCGAGAAAATTGCTATCGTGATAGCGTCTGTACTTTATGTATTTATTACTGTCTACCTGAAATTACCTTTCCCTTCAGATATGTTCCGATCCTCAAAATTGTCAACGGAAAAATGGATACACCCTTATTTTTCTAATCAATTGTAAATCCCTCCGCTGTCCTTTGGAATTTTTCCTCCTTTTCTTTTTTTCCTCAAACTTTTTATCAAAAACTGAATTTGAAGAGTCAGTCGAGTACTATCCGCCAAATAATTAACACTCCAAACTAAAAGCAATTTGTCTCGGCTCCAATCAATGTAACGATTTTATGTGTAAAATAAATTATAATATTCGTTAAAATCTATCAACGAATTTATCATCACTTATCACTCACCGTCAACAATCTCCTTAATGCATGCTATGTTCTAATTAAAAATCATAAGCATACTACTAATACTTTTCATCAAATTATGTAGCTTTTCATCTATTACCTGCAATAGCAAATAATTTACTGTATCAGCTAAATCGTTACAAAAAGCTAATTGATTTCAGCTAATGCATATTTGCTGCTGCAGCAAATTCATTTTTCTCCGTGCAGTTGGATATTCGCAGAATTAACCCTATCAGTATCTAGATATTCTACCCAATGGGAAACTGCCACGAGTAACCATTGTCGTATTAATTGGCCTAATGATGCCAATGAAAAAATCATTGGCACCCAATAATGGACCATTAGTGGTAAAGTCATGAGCTGTCCACGCCGATGCTAATGATTGGCAACCATCATTGGCAAATTATTGGCAACCAATAATTATCCACTATTAAAAATTTTAATAATAATTTAAAAAATCAATAATTTAAAAAAAATTTAATTTTTATTATTTTTTAATAGTTATTATTATTACTATTATTATTTTATTATTAATAATTAAATTAAAATGAAAAAATGGTCATCAAAAGTATTAGTGAAACCATTTCTTCCAAAAAAGAGTTTGTCTCAAGCTGCCATCAGCGCAGCGCGGGAACATTTAAAAAATTTGATTTTATTAGATATTTTATTTTATAATTAATAAATTATTAAGTATGACATTATGTTATTAATAATTATTTATGACATTAATTATTTATTAAGTTAATTATTTGTCATATTTAAAATAAAATATCTAATAAAATCAAATTTTTCAAATGTTCCCGCGCTGCGCTGATGGCTCAGTTTTGGACTTTAGTTCGCTCAACGCCACAGGGAGGGCGAACATCATAACTGTTTCTCGCAGTTGAGGTGCGATTAGATTGGTATATAAGCAGTGATCGAAAATTTTTTTCTGCCCGATGTCTCTCCTATTAATTGGATTTGAGACAAACTTTTTTTTGGAAGAAATGGTTTCACTAATACTTTGATGACCATCTTTTTATTTTAATTTAATTATTAATAATAAAATAATAATAATAATAATAATAATAATAATAATAATAATAATAACTATTAAAAAATAATAAAAATTAAAAATTTTTAATATTGGCTAATTATTGGTTGCCAATAATTTGCCAATGATGGTTGCCAATCATTGGCATCGGCGTGGACAGCCCATGACTTTACCAATAATGGCCCATTATTGGGTGCCATTATTGAAATTATATTGGCATCCCTGGTTCTCATTATTGGGCCATTAATACGCCAATGGTATTTTTTTCATTGTGTAATTATATATTCTAATTCCAGTTATTATAATTTAAGGAAAATTTTTTAGAATGGAGATAGTGTAACCTTTTATATAAATTGTTAAGAACATGTAAAATATCAGTACCTATACAAAACATTCATTAAAATTTGTCAATTACATCTACATATATGTTGTCATCAGCATATTTTAATTTATATATTCCACAATTCCTCTTGTGTGTATATACTATATATATAGGTAGAACGCAGATTTTGCCGCTGCGAAAACAACACACGCTGCACATGACTCTGAAAGCTCTTTTGATGTGTTCTATTTCCATGTGCGAAGATAAAAGCTTACACAGGCGGCGGCATATGGCTCACGCATTGAAGCAGTGCGAACGTACCATATATATATATATACAATTCTCATGTTAGTATTATTGAGTTTACAACTATAAAATGAAATTGGGTGGAATTTTTTTTTCAAAATAAAAAGTACTAGTAGTATTGTATCCTGTAGCAAAGATAAAAAGCTCAAGCTTGATGATGGTGTCTTTGTCGCGCTCACAAGCATCCTATGGTTATATTCAACTGATCGTCATGGCAACGAAAATGTCGAGAGAGAGAGAGAGAGAGAGAGAGAGAGAGAGAGAGAGAGAGAGAGAGAGAGTATATGTGTACAGTAGTCGAGGTGGCGGCGCAGAGTAGTGAAACTCTACTGATATGAAGTCAGTGCACGCGGTGACGGCCACCAGAACGCACGTGTATAAACTGATGGTTCTTTCTTTACTTCCGGTTTTCCGTGTTTACTGAGCTTTTTTCAATAATCCTATTTGTGCCCACTGTGATTTGAACTGTAAAAAATTTTCAGTGAAAAATCGTTTCTTATTTTCTTCAAGAAGTATGAAATAATTTCTCATGAAAATCATTTTCGATACAGGTAGGAATTTTTTATAATTTTCCATTTTAAAAAATTATATTATTTATTTTCTATTCTCAATATGAATATAAGATTAAAAACTTATTCATTTTTGATCCTGTGTGTGTGTGTGTGTAAAATCTAACAAAATCAAAACAAAAATTTTAATTTTTTTTTTTGTTGAAATAATTGAAAGTTGACTAAAAAAAGAATGACATTTAAATTTTATCCCTTTTTGAAATTAAGTACAGACATGAAGTTACTGCCTCGAGTTGTACGACCAGCACACGGCACTAAACAACGTTTACAACACAATTAGAAGGAAAACTTACTTCCCGGAACGATAACTTCCAACCCCACAGAGAATAACTACCGTTGGTTCAAAATTTCCACATTATCCAATTTACTGTTCCTTTATATTTGTTCTTCAAGTTTTCATTTTAAAAAGCATGTTTCAAGTCCGTTTTTTTCAAATCCCTTATCTCCCTTACCGTTTTAAATTTTTTATATAAAACGTAAATTAATTTCCGCATGATAACCTCGGGTAGTGTGTGTATGTATATAGAGGAGAAGATAAAACAAGATATTTTCCTGGACATTGTGTCCCGTGGGAATTGATAACTAGATGTTTTTTTTTTCTTTTTCCTCTCGTGTTATGTAAAATCCTTTTATATTCTTTTTGGAAAGTTTTATACTTTTTTTAGAATTTATTTTTCCTTTAACGTTTTGCCAATCGAAGGTAGACAAATGACCTTAGAGTATCGTAATGTTTAATTAATCTTTATCAATCTCTCTCGTGCTTGGATGTTCTCTCTCTCTCTCTCTCTCTGCTCTTTTCTCTCTCACGAACCATTTTTCTTTTTCCGCGGAAAATTTGTTCAGGCCTGGGGGTAAAAACGTGCTCAGTGATCGTTGGCATGGGGTTAAAAAAAAAACTGTTAGACGAATCGTGCAAAGTGCAATTTATCTCGGGCTAGTACCAGCATGCACTACTGTATCCGCTCGACATTGTCCGGATTGTCATTTGTCTGGCGAACGAGGTTGCTGCCCGTTTGTATCGTTTTGTATATTCGAATTGGTTTCACCATGATACAGTTCACTGCCATTATTTATTTAACAAGAAACAGCTTGTTTCAATAATAAAAAAAATATCGGTTTTTTTTTTTTAAAAAAAAAGATACAATAACGTTTTAAACTTTATCAGAGTCTGTGTAATGTTGAATTTAATTGCTAAAATGTTACCTGACATTTAGAAAAGTAACACAGTCACTTAAAAAAAAAAATTTCCGATTATACTAAAATTTCTAACCAATTAATTAGCGATACTTTATTTTTTCTGAATTTATTAATAATCATAACTGCATATATACATTTTCAAAATTTATATATAATTTTTAGAAATATAAACGAAAGTAATAAATATTCACTGAATTTTCAAGGAAATAAAATTTAATTACGAACTTCATTCACAAAAATCTATTTTCGTTGAGCAAAAGGAGTAACGAATTTTTAATTATAAAGTTGAATGGAAAATACATGGTTGAGAAAATTACTTTAAATGAAAATAAAAAGTGATGTTAATTAAATTTTTCTGATAACTAAATTAATTCAAATCCATTTGCAGATTGCTGAGATATTCATAAAGATTTGTAAATGGATCGTGAAATAGAAAATAGAAGCACGTTTCTGGTATTTGCGAAGAATTTGACAAACCATAGATTAAGACTTATGACCTAGATGAGAAACTCGATCCTCGTAATCGATACTGAACAATGATTCATAGTTTGAATTTTATTTGTTTCTTTACTTCCAGTGGCGCGCTTTTCAAATCTAAATTTTTGATTTAAATAATTAATTAATTTACTGATAAATACAATTGACGCTTATCTAAATAACATTACAAATTCTTTTAAATTTAATTTTCAAATTAAAACAATTTTTAATAAAGTAGAAACTATATTAAAATTTTGAAAACATTTTTTCAATGAAAACTATGAGTTTTATGTATAATATAAGAAAAAAAGTCGAAACTAATGTTCGCAATCTTATTTTAAAAAATATTCAAATTATGAAGCAAAATATTTAACCTAAAGATAAGGTGCAAAGTATCGTATATTCCATCAAAAAAGTTTTATTAAAACAATCTTATTCTTAAAAATTTCCAACTATAAGGAAATGCAAGTTTGTGATGTTTAAATTTACAGCGTAATATTTATAAGAATATTTGAGAATCTTCTGAAATTCTTGGAGAGAAACTTTTATAAGTTTCACATAGAACCGTCCAGAATCTTCTCTTGTTGAGACTTCTCAACACACGCGAGGAATTCTCAAAACTTTGTCAGTAGTATTTCTCAAATAATTGTTAAAAAGTTTATATATATATTTTACCAGAAAAAAAGTCAAACATTATTCAAAGTGAATATATATTATATAATTTAATTTAATATTTGTTATTTACAATTTAAAATTGTTATGATAACAACAAAATTAAGAATTAATTTTAATACACTCTCTATAAAGTAAAATCGTTATTATACATCACTTTAAAAATTTTAAACTATTGAATTATTCGATAATTATTACTCTTCAATATATCTAAAAGAATTCAATTTTATAATATTGAATTCTTTTAGATATTATTTTTACGCTGGTATTATATTATTTTATCCGCTTATTGCTTCTAGTAAAATCGGCTTTTTTCAACTCAAGAATAAATATTTAAAAGTAAAAAATTATACTGTCCCGTGTGGAAAAAGCCACGATCTTGCCCTCAAGAGTTCGGGGCCCCCGGCGGTGGCCCATGAGGGCTGATATCTGCTCAATTAGAGGATTACATCGATAAAAATTAAATCATAAGTTTCATTGGGATAATGTTGTTATATGATTTTTTTACTATTAACAAAAAAGAAGATATAATGAATTTGAATAAAATTTACTTCCCTTTAATTTCCAAATTTCTTGAAATATTTCACGTCCACGTACTATTTAGATCGAAGTTCATTGACTCCTCTATTTCATTTAGATTTTTGTAATTAGAATTCAGTCTTGACGATACGTGTCTATTAACCTGTATGTACCCATTTCTATTCAAAACCAATAACTTTTTCTTTTAGTCATCCGCCATATTGGATCCGCCATTTTGAATTTTGGAATTCTAACTCCAGATTTGTTATTAGGGATACCAAAAACCCACGAGTAACAAAATTCAGACAGTTTTGAACATGTTTTGTGGTTTTTACCAAATTTTTTGCGATCTGGACCACTATAAGTCATCGAAAAAGCAGATTCATAGTGATTACATTTAGTTTCACAGCATAATATAGCAAAATAACAAAATTATCGTCTGGATATTAAATTTTTATAATAAAGTGTTTTTCCTAACGAATTGTAATAACAGCAAATCTACTAATAACAATTTAAAAATTGTTAACACAATAACATTTTTTTGTCTCCGGCTAGTACAATATCAAGCATATTGTGAAGTTAGGCTCAAATTGCAGTATACCTTTATTTATTTATACATAATATTTATTACGTAACAGCATAGTTACGTATACCCAATTTTTGCCTTCAGCCTCCCATGATAAAAGAAATGCGGGATTTATTCCGTTTTTTCCTTTTAAAAAAGAGATGATTCTTCTCGATTTTCCGTAATGTTGATTTACTTTGCACGATTCGATATATATTTTTCATATTGCTGTGGGAAACGAAACCAATTTACTATTTTCCCCAGAGCTCTTGGTGTCGAAGAGCACATTGCAACGAATTCCAACACAACGTGTCTTGAAAACTACAATAAAGTACCAATCTGATCGTCAAATTGCAAGATATTGGCTTTGAACATCCAAGTCCTGTATACTCAAAGAAATGAAAAAAAGACAAAAGAATGGCAAATCCTTTATTTTCTTGTTACATAAAAAGCATTACAATATATTGCCTTAATTCATTGACTAAATTTTTAAAAAAATTCTCAATTATAATTAACTAAAATTTACTTCAATTTAATAGCAAAATAGGTATATTACAAAATGTACTTTTACACAATTACTCCTACGTATAGAAGTAATTTCAATTTGACATTGCCTTTTGTCTTAAGTTTGAATTTTTTATTAAAAATTTTCATTCAAAATAAAAGTGAATTTAATTATTAAAGTGAAAATAAAATTCAAAGCGTAAGTCAAAGTGAAAATCAAAGACGAAGTCAAATTAAAATTACATAATTGCACACTGGGGTAATAATTTCAAAATGAACCAAGTTTAAATCGAAATCTGTCTTCATTGAATGAAAATATAATATTATACATCATAAAATTGTTATGTATAAAGGACTAATTGACTAATTAATACATTTCATTGAATGTGACATGTTGCAGTGGTTTACCAACTGTATATCGGTTAAGTGTTTTAAATTATAACAAATTCTGCAACAGTAGGTAATAAATTGCAACAATTAACTAAATGAAACAGAAACTAAATAAATTGTCGACTTTAAAATAAATTCACAAAAATTACTAATTAATCTTAAAAATACTAAATCATAAATAAAAAATTACTTTTTAATGATAAATTCAAAAATCAATTCAAAAAATTAAATATCAATTTATCAAAATATTACAAAAAAAGCTAACAATGTTTCACATAATCTACTAATCAATAAACAAAATCTCATAATAAACATTTTAAGGTCAAAATAAAAAAAAATTACTTAATGTGACGGTTTGTCAAAAAAAAAAAAAAGATAACGCCACAATGTTTAAATATAACTAAACTCATTCTAATAATAACTGACCTTGTAGTCTTTGTTCCAGATATTACATAATACAAGTTGCACTTACAATAATAATTAACCCAGTAACTGTACGCAACTTTAATTAAAATAGAGCAGAAAAATTAAAACAATATTCTCGCTAGGAATTTAGACAAAAATTTCATAAAGAATTCTGTATAATAATTTTCTTAAACATTTTTATGTGAAGGTGGAAAAAAAAGAATTTAATTTCTCTTCTCATATTTACAAAATT